AGCGTGACTGCAATGTGATGGTATCCACGATACCATGTAATGTCAAGTGTGATCCAGCGTGACTGCAATGTGATGGTATCCACGATACCATGTAATGTCAAGTGTGATCCCTGTCTCTTATACACATCTAGATGTGTATAAGAGACGTGCTGTACAGTCTGTGCCTTCACGTGCACCGCGTGCTGTACAGTCTGTGCCTTCACGTGCACCGCGTGCTGTACAGTCTGTGCCTTCACGTGCACCACGTGCTGTACAGTCTGTGCCTTCACGTGCACCGCGTGCTGTACAGTCTGTGCCTTCACGTGCACCGCGTGCTGTACAGTTTGAGCCTTCACGTGCACCGCGTGCTGTACAGTCAGTGCACACACATGCTCTACGTGTTATAGATTATGTTCACAGCACAGCCTTTGCAAAGCGCGTCTTCAAATCACAACACTTTTAGTACCGCGTAGCCTGTGCACAGCACAGTCCATGCACAGCATAGCCTATGAACAACACTGCAATGCTCCTCCACAGCACAGCACCACAACACAACACAACCTCTGCACAACACAGCATAGCCTCTGAACAGTACAGCTATGCTTCTACACAGCACAGCACAACCTCTGTACAACACAGCCTCTGCACAACACAGCATAGCCTCTGAACAGTACAGCTATGCTTCTACACAGCACAGCACAACCTCACAACACAGCATAGCCTCTGAACAGTACAGCTATGCTTCTACACAGCACAGCACAACCTCTGCACAACACAACACAGCATAGCCTCTGAACAGTACAGCTATGCTTCTACACAGCACAACACAACCTCCGCAGAACACAATACAGCCTCTGCACAGCTCAGCCTCAGCACAGCCCCTGCACAGCACAACACAGCACAGCCAGTGCACAGCAGTAGCAGCTCACGGCAACTTCACTGATATGCTGCCCCAAAGTTTACGCTAGGCGAGCTTTACGAATGCCCAAGTCATAATAACTTCGTAACAAGTTCCTTCAGGAGAACTTTAGAGGAACTTTAGAGCTCTACTTGACAAGCTCCAGCCCTGAGCCATGGAGGAGGTTCGTATGGTGCTTGTAACATTTGTTATTGTGCGTTATTGCCGAGATCTTTATGTTATTTATTGTTTATTGTGCTTACGTTATTATATTGTGCTCACGTTATTGTATTGTGCTCACGTTATTGTATTGTGCTCACGTTATTGTATTGTGCTCACGTTATTATCAACAATTAATCATTATTATTTCAACAATTAAACATTATTATTTTAACAATTTATCATTATTATTTCAACAATTAATCGTTATTATTTCAACAATTAATCGTTATTATTTCAACAATTAATTATTATTATTTCAACAATTAATCATTATTATATCAACAATTAATCATTATTATTTCAACAATTAATCATTATTATTTCAACAATTAAACATTATAATTTCAACAATCAATCATTATTATTTCAACAATTAATCATTGTTATTTCAAGGAAGTAAATCAGAGCTGCGATAACAAGGCTGGAGTAGGTGCCTCTTAATCAGAGATCTGCTACCTCATAACTTCTAAAATATTTGATAAATACCTTCGATCAACTTGTAATCGATCAAAGATAGTAGCGTCTTCCTGTCTGCTATCTGCGTTTTGTTTAAGAGATAAGAGCAAGTCTTCTTATCTTAGATAGTCCTGTCTAGATAGAGCGGTCAGACATGCCTAGCTGGTCCCAAATTTTTATTGCACCACTTCTGCACAATTTAATATTGCAACATGTTTCTCTTTCCTTTTCATATTGAATAAAAGTGTTTCGTCCAATAAATAGTGTGTAAATTTTCCACTGATTATTAACTTATTTATTAAATTTCAATAAAATGCACGGGAATAATTTTATGAGCCAATACAGTGTGTAAATTTTGAAGATTTTCTACCAATTATCAACTCATTTATTCAATTATTTTCTATAGAATGCACAGAAATAATTTTTGATTAACAGACCATCCCTTAATTTACAACTATTTTGTCATTATCACTTCAGTGCTGATGCTACGTCATGATAAGATATCAGCAGTGTTATGTTGAACTTCAACTGGCGAAATGTTAAGAGCGCACTAAAGCCATTGTTATTGCGTGGGCGTTTTGAAGTTGACGATAGCTGTCATAGAATATGATTGAAAGTTGCTGATTATGATGACATTAGGAAATTACATTTTGTAATTTAAAATTCGGTGATATAAATTATTACAATGCCAGGCGGTGTTATATAATGAACAAATTTTGATATATTCGAGGAATGACCAAAGCTTTTGTGGTTAACTTAGTAAAAAAATATGACCATTTCATGGTATACTTGATACCAGTCTTGCTAATCTCGTGTTGACAGAGCAGCGCATGAAAAATGTGATGGTATCCACGATACCATGTAATGTCATGTGTGATCCAGCGTGACTGCAATGTGATGGTATCCACGATACCATGTAATGTCATGTGTGATCAAGCGTGACTGCAATGTGATGGTATCCATGATACCATGTAATGTCAAGTGTGATCCAGCGTGACTGCAATGTGATGGTATCCACGATACCATGTAATGTCAAGTGTGATCCAGCGTGACTGCAATGTGATGGTATCCACGATACCATGTAATGTCATGTGTGATCCAGCGTGACTGCAATGTGATCAACGCATGAAAAAACACGATTAGGTGTATAAAGTGTAAATTAAACTATTATGAAGTTTATATTAATCAATTATATTAATTTAAAGTGTGAATGAGGTCACAACAATTCTACGCGCATGTAACAACGCTAGAATATTCAACAGATATTACAACAAACCTATAGTTTGTGTGGTGAGAACCGCTTTGTCTTATGTGGTTTTTCCGCAGGTGGTTCTATCGCAGGTGGATCTGTCACTGGTGGTTCTGTCACAGGTAGTTCTGTCACTGGTGGTTCTGTCACAGGTGGTTCTGTCACTGGTGGTTCTGTCACTGGTGGTTCTGTCACTGGTGGTTCTGTCACTGGTGGTTCTGTCACTGGTGGTTCTGTCACTGGTGGTTCTGTCACTGGTGGTTCTGTCACTGGTGGTTCTGTCACTGGTGGTTCTGTCACTGGTGGTTCTGTCACTGGTGGTTCTGTCACTGGTGGTTCTGTCACTGGTGGTTCTGTCACTGGTGGTTCTGTCACTGGTGGTTCTGTCACTGGTGGTTCTGTCACTGGTGGTTCTGTCACTGGTGGTTCTGTCACTGGTGGTTCTGTCACTGGTGGTTCTGTCACTGGTGGTTCTGTCACTGGTGGTTCTGTCACTGGTGGTTCTGTCACTGGTGGTTCTGTCACTGGTGGTTCTGTCACTGGTGGTTCTGTCACTGGTGGTTCTGTCACTGGTGGTTCTGTCACTGGTGGTTCTGTCACTGGTGGTTCTGTCACTGGTGGTTCTGTCACTGGTGGTTCTGTCACTGGTGGTTCTGTCACTGGTGGTTCTGTCACTGGTGGTTCTGTCACAGGTGGTTCCGTCACAGGAGTTTCTGTCATTGGTGGTTCTGTCACTGGTTGTTCTGTCACTGGTGGTTCTGTCACAGGTGGTTCCGTCACAGGAGTTTCTGTCATAGGTGGTTCTGTCACTGGTGGTTCTGTCACAGGTGGTTCTGTCACTGGTGGTTCTGTCACTGGTGGTTCTGTCACTGGTGGTTCTGCCACTGGTGGTTCTGTCACTGGTGGTTCTGTCACTGACGCTCTTCACTCCAATCGTACAACGCAGCAAAGTAGCGCCAACCATCAAAGGCCGAGTAACGTTTGATCGAAGAAATGAAGTCGACTTCCGAGTCACGATTTTGTCGTAATTTGACAGCGAATTTTGAGTCAAGTTTTTGTTAAAATTGGAGGTCGCCTTTAGCGCCATGATTTTGCTAAAATTTATTCGACATAATCTGAAATCGTCCATCGCTTGTGTAAAATTGCGATACGCTCGAACTTCTGGAGTATCGTAGTAGATAAGATGATAAATAAAGATGCTTAATAAAATATGAGTTAAAGTCAGATGGAAAGAGGTAGTAAATGACATAACAGAATGGGTCAATAATAAGAAGTTTGGCATCTTCAGAGGAAGTTGATTTTATAGAAAATATTATATGAGATAATCAATATTGAGAATATTACATGTAACAGTAAATCAACGTATAATTAATCCCTTTGTTGTATTTATAAGGCAATATTGAGCTTAGAGAGAACAACGCTTGACTTGTGAGGCGGAAGAGGCCAACGTTGCGAGGCAATGTTGCGCTGTTATTGCCTCTTGTATTGCCTGTATTGCCGGAGATATCGACGCCTAATTGAATGTTATGGCACAAGACCCAGACCCTACCCTCCTCAGCCCTCAGACCCTTCCTTCCTCAGCCCTCAGACCCTTCCTTCCTCAGCCCTCAGACCCTTCCCTCTTCATCCCTCAGACATTTCCTCTTCATCCCTCGGACCCTTCCCTCTTCATCCCTCAGACATTCCCTCCTCATCCCTCAGACCTTCCCATCCGCATCCCTCAGATATTTCCCTCTCCTGCTTTCAGCCTTGTCCCTCCTCTGCCATCACTGTTTACCCTCCACAACCCTCCATTGCTTACCCTTCACTACCCTCAGTTGCTTTTATTGCTTACCCTCCACTACCCTCAGTTGCCTCTATTGCTTACCCTCCACTACCCTCAGTTGCCTCCAGTCATTACACTCCATTACCCTCAGTTGACCTTAGAACGGTAGCACTTCAGATGTTCAAGCTCGTGTGCCACGCCGCATATTATTTCTCTATGAGACTTCATTGTTGACGAGGTACGAACGAACAGGAACTGTGCACCAGAGCACAATCAGTCTCATCTCATTACGGATAACAGTGCCACTGCTCCACCCGCAGTTTGCACTGCACTGCATACAGTGCACCGGATTGCATACATTTCATTGCATTGCATACAATGCACTGCACTGCATAAAGTTCACTGCACCGGACTGCATACATTTCATTGCATTGCTTACAATGCACTGCACTGCATACAGAGCATCGTACTGCATATATTTTTATTTCACTGCACTGCACACAGTGCATCGGACTACATACATTTCATTGCACGGCTCACAATGCGCTACCTTATGACCTTACCTTACCTTATGATGAGTTTAGGACGTCGTAGTCCAAGGTCACGCTGGTGCGCCGCCTTCGTCGTCCTCCGTCTCCGAGTCGTCGTCGGATGTAACGTTGGACCTGTTCCGCCTATTAGCCCTCATTTGGGCCAGCTGATGCAAGATGCTGTTGCTTGTCACTTGCTGAATATTTACTGACTTCCCTGATATCCCGCCGAAACACTGAAAAACACTTGGGCCCAAGCTGTACACATTTACAACTGGCCGACAAAGAAAACTAACCGTCACACACGATTATCTCAGCTCACGCCACAGTTCCAGAGAGAGCGGACACGTGCTTTCTCGACCGCGTCTGACAGGAAGTCACCACTACATACAATGCACTGCACTCCTTACAATGCACTGCACTGCATATAGTGCACCGGACTGCATTCAATGCAGTGCATTGAATACAATGCACTGCACTGCATACAGTGACTTCTAATCCCCATCCCCCCCAGATGAACGGCATGGTGGTGAAGCTGCTCTTCGGCGGCTCCCTTGCCACGGCCGCTGCCATGGCGCTGCTCTACTGCACCAACGCCCGTAAATCCTGCACACGATCTACTGTTGATGCTGCTGCTGGTGCTGCTAGTGCTGCTGGTGCTGCTGGTGCTGCTGGTGGAGCAAGAAGTCAGGTTGAGAGGCCAACTTACGAAGAAACAGCTTTTCAGGTGAGGACCCGAAAAAGTTTTTTTTTTCAGGGTATCCCTGGCGAAGGTGGTGCTCATGGTGCTCATGGTGCTCATGGTGCTCATGGTGCTCATGGTGCTCATGATGCTCATGGTGCTCATGGTGCTCATGGTGCTCATGGAGCTCATGGTACTCATGGTGCTCATGGTGCTCATGGTGCTCATGGAGCTCATGGTAGTCATGGTGCTCATGATGCTCATGGTGCTCATGGTGCTCATGGTGCTCATAGGTGCTCACTCATGGTGCTCATGGTGCTCATGGTGCTCATGGTACTCATGGTGCTCATGGTGCTCATGGTGCTCATGGTACTCATAGTTTGCTCCTGAAGTTGAAGCGAGAAGGGTTTATGATTCACAATCTTTTCAAAAATGACCTTTCGTGATACGGACGCAATCCTGCACTTAGTTCGGTGACTTAATTTACGATGAATGAAAAAAATAATATAACATTTAACATTTATTTTGTTGCGTTTTAGTTGCGGAAAAGGAGTACAAGCTTTTGAAACCTTACAAAGCATTCTTATTCAATTATTTTTATTCAATTCTATAGTTCAATTCGACAACTCAAATGAGGAGAGCGGACGATAGTCCCCTCTCCGACGATGTTGTTACTGATGTCATCACGACGATGTTGTTACTGATGTCATCACGACGATGTTGTTACTGATGTCATCACGACGATGTCGTTACTGATGTCATCACGACGATGTTGTTACTGATGTCATCAGTTGAATGTCAACAACATCAGTTGGCAGTTGAATGTCAACAACATCAGTTGGCAGTTGAATGTCAACAACATCAGTTGGCAGTTGAATGTGTTGAGAGCCCCGCTGCTATAGCCGAGGTCGGCCTCTAATGCGCTAACGTAGTAATCAAGAGATGTAGGAGGGTATAAAGTAGGCCTGGGGTTTCCTGTGTGGACCTCACTATGCGAATTGCGGCTAAAAAAAGATGTGAATTTCGGGTAAAAAAGTAATAAATTACATGGAGTGTAGGGAAAAACGCACTGGATAACTTGAATTGTGGGAAGAAACGAATGATTATGCGAGGTTTGGGGTAAAATATGCGGTAATTGTGGGTAAAAATAGTAGATTTTGTTTAAACTGTTGTAGATAAAATTGAATTTTCGAAATTCTTATGTAAAGTTTTTTTATTGGAACCAACTATTCACTTTAAATCGTCGGCATAAAATCCAAGATTCAACGAGGTCTGTGGGTAAAGATTGAAAATTTTTATGTGATTGAAGGTAAAAAAACTAATCCTTTTGGATTGCTGGTGAGACCAAACTATTCTAATGGACTGGGGAAATTTGGGTGCTAACAACTGAGTTCACACAATTTGTGCAAAACTCCATTTTCTGAAAAAGTAATTATCTTTAATTATAATTATTAATTAAATATGTTTATAACACTTGGTTTACAATAGAAACTCAGCCTCTGTTAAAATATTTACATAAAAATTGATAAGACTTCATCTGTTATGAAAACTTTATATCTGTTAAAATTTTGCTGAAAATTTACGCATGCGTAAAGTCTGCGTAAATGAAAAGCTGTTAGTCTGCGTGCAGTCTGAAGTCTGCGTAAGTCGGTATATATGCCTCAGTGAACTTCTGTATAATTCATGAATGAATTTGCGCTTTGAGGAGCGTGCTTGTAATTCAAGTGAACTCAATTTCAGTACGTAAAGTTTTGAAAATATAGACCATTTTTTTATGTTCTTGCCTGTCTCAAAACTTTTAGGACATTTTACAAATATTTCTTTCAGATAAATCACCGATATTACTTATTAATATAACACATTAAAAGTGCTGAAATAAAATAAGAACAATGTTCACTGATGTTTGAATGTTGTTCACTTCTGCCCTCCGGTTTCCATCTAAAAGAGGGATTCTCGATGTCAGGCGCCAGACTTCCGTGGAATTTTCCAGCAATTGCCGCCATTGGAACTTGTCACTGTGCGCCATTCAATTAAACTTTCTATTTTATTCTTCCTGACTTGGCAAGCGCTGCGATCCAATGGCGGTAGCTCACTTCTGTTGCTGCTGTCGCATTGTCGTTGTTTGGCTCAGAATATTTCAGCTTGATATATCCCTTGTCCACCCAACAGTCGAATGTTTTTTGTCAAAGTTTTCACTCTTGTATCTTTTTCGGGGCTGCTTAGCTGCTATTGCTGTAACCACTACCACTAGAATCAATATAATAATTTATTATATGGTATGATCGACGGTAAAAAACTTATAATACCAAAATAATAATAATACCAAAAACGTATGTATTCCACTGAATTTTTGAAATATTAAAGACTATTTTGTCCCTCATACATACCAGACCGCCATCGCACAACTTTAAACGTGGCTAGTTTATTGCAGGAAAAAAAATTAAATCTATGTGAATATCAAGGAAGAAACTCAGTATGAAGATGTGTTCGAATAGCACAAATTTGTGACTAGCTCATCAATGTCACTAATGCCAATTTCTGAAGCATCTTGTGGAATTTTTCTCCATCCAGAATACCGTTCGTCTGCGATGAGAAAATTTTCATTACTCGACGTCTTTCTTCCCACTTGTATTGTATTTCTATCGTATAAATGCAGTTTAAGGCAGATCAGTTTACATTCCAATAATAAAATCCTTTGACACTGTTACGGCGTCAGGAAATACAAGAATAACCGTATATATAAGTCAATGGATCAAAAACACTTCTTGATAGGCAGGAGCTAAAATCATTTAGAGCTATTATCACTATTGCTTATGCTGGAATTTTAGCTCGACACAGAAAATAATAATTCATCATTATTGTTTTCTAATTTTAAAAGCTTTCCATATCTTTTACAGACTCGTGAGACTTTCCTAACCGAGCGGGAAGGAGTCTTAACCAAGAAGAGCCTATCAGACTCCCCTCCTCCGTACGAGGCTCCTCCAGATTACCATTCCTTGCCTCCCGAGATCCTAATGGACGCCTTATCGCTCGAAGACCTCTGTCAACATCCCCAGGTTGTCGGTGATGGCGGCCAGATATCCTGTCAACATCCCCAGGTTGTCGGTGATGGCGACCAGATATCCTGTCATCATTCCACGGTTGTTGCTGATGGCATTCGGATATCCTCGAATTCCAATCGCCCCATCCGATCCAAAACCGCAGGCCACAATTCCCCTCCTGATGAGGTCCTCTGCATCAGCCCCAAAATCCCCTCGCCTAAGCTGATTGTGAGGAAGATACTCTGTGAGGGAGGAATCGACGAGGACTTCAAGATTCCTGTTTCGTCTGAAGAAGAAGGAAGGCTGCAAGGTACAACTTCTACTGCAACGTCAACGTTTTCTAGGGAACATGACGCAATTAACATAGATACACAGTACACGCCTGCGTTGACATCTTCTATTTCGTCATATTCTGGAGTTCAGACTATAGAAAATCAAGACTTACAGTGTTTACCTGTTCCATCTTCATCGTCTTCCTTTAAAACAGCGATTACTGTGAATGAAGATGTGCATTGTCTGTCTCTGACGTCATCTTCTGCTTCGCCTTGCATTGAAGTGCAGGGTGTGGCAAATAAATACGTTAATAACTCCCTGGGCCATCAGGACGATGCATCAACGACACAGAAATTGACCGAGTTCCAAAAAAAGTATTTGCTCGAAGAGACGCACAAGAGACACCACCCCTTGCCCGATAAAATCGATGACCCCGACGCTGTACCGCCGGGCGCGATGCAACCTGACCGCTCTACAAATACAGACAGCGCGCTCAGAGAAAGCGACCGAGGGACAGAGATCCAAACAAAACATATCGATTCCGTGATGGAAGAAAACGCCCGCGAAAAAACGGTGCCATTACTCTGTGAAACCCAGAGACAAAGCAGGTATTGTGTTGCCGGGGAAGACGATCCTGTTCGGCGGGTGAGTGAAGCTGATCGAAGATCGAGTTCTAGTGAGCGAGCAGCGGCTCAAAATTACGATCAGCTTCCCTTCCCTCAGCTTGGCAACAGACGATTGAAGTTCACTAAGAAGCTTCCCTTTTGTCAGCCGTCGTATGTTTCGCATCATCCTTTTCATCCTCAGTTGCACTCTTCAAAATACTTCACTCATATGGCTCATCAGAAAATATCTGATTCATCCAATCATCGTTCCTTTTTCGGGCAATTGGCGATTGAGTACAATCCAGAGACGAAGCTGGAGGCTCCATGTGGCGATAGTTCCTCTGGAAGTAATTCGCCAACCAATAACTCTATGAAAAGAAGATATGACCAGCAGCAGCAGCAGCAGCAGCAGGACAAAAATACCTCCCCTCCCGCAACCATCACGAATACATCTACATCACGCGGAAGCCCTCAAGCAAACGATAGCCTGACCGACATCAACACAGCGTCTATTTTTTCTAACCTAAACTATGCAAGCCAATGGGTCGATTTCCCCAGGAAATCTCATGCCCCAAACGCCCAAGCAACGGATTTGCGTCTTGAAAATAGTTCTTCTGCTGCCTCGCCTTCCACCGCTGTCACTCTTGACGTTATATCGATGGAAGATCCCGAACAAAGTACCGCGCTAGAACGAAATTCGACCAATTAACGACTACCGTATGCAGAATCGCCCGTCATTCACCGTCCACATTACAGGTTGGACCTAAAAATCAGGGCCTATACTTTCAAAATTCGCTAAGTGAACGTAAGTACTTACGCGCTATTTTCTTGTCTACGATTGGTGGATTTTGCTTGAAAGGCTGTCAATAATTGGCTGATGAACTTACGATATCTTAACTTTTTTGAAAGTATGGGCCCAGAGCCATGAACTATAATCCACGACTATTGTAGTATCTTTGACCGTTAGAACAGTAGTTGATAATTGAAAATAATTAATTATAAAAATTAACTTTCTTAAGTTTGAAGATACTTCATATTCTGAAATATTTACTAGATAATTTTCCATATCATTTCTTTTCTCCAGTTATGAACTGCTTCCCATCTTTGGAATGAAGATGGAGGAGACAGCAACTGTTTCATCATGCAGAGGACTAAAACAAGATGAACAGGATGTCACCAAGCGCTAAGATAACGTGCCAAAGCGATGAAATGTCTTCAACCATGTGGAGACTGCTCGTTTATTAATAATTTTCCATAGCTTCATTCCTTGTTGGTAATAACCATGAAGGGAATTTATCATAAACTCTGAATGTTGCATTTTTCTCCATGTTTGCTGTTAAGGGAGAGTGACGCCAAGTGGAATGTTTGTACCATCGCACACCTCACCAGAGGCTGTATACTCGAAAAGCATTACGATGTCATGGGACAAGTTGCCAAACAAACAGAATTTTCAGGTCTCAATTTAAACTCTCCGTTCATCGTGTAATTTTTAATCATCATAAGAACCTGATTTCTTCACTTTTGGGTATCGTTAAAGTCACAAACTAACGAGCTTTAAAGTTTATATGATACGAAGTTTGAAAGTAGAATTAGTCGTGAAATTGGAATATGAAGTTAATATTTATTAAATTATTTAACAGATTATTTAATTACTGTTAAGATGGATAGACTCTGATCTCCATGACGGTTGTCTGTATTAGAATGTTGTTGACCAATGTAAGAATTTTATATAGAGTTTTATGTGATGTGTTGAACAAAGCTTTATTTATCAATTTCCCGCTAGTAGTTAATGTATTGTTATATGAATGTATAATTGACCATAATTTGTGTTTTGATTGTTAATATGGTGCTTCACCTAAGTTCGGCGACAGAATAAAATTAGGTGCGTTTCAAATTATAATCACGAGGAAAAAAATTTCGTTTCGCTGATGTGGTTATAGCCACGCCAGGGCGCTGCTTTACGCGTTTTTATTTCGTTTTCATGTTGTGATTTGAAAAGCTTATATTTGATAAGGTAGAATATATTCAAAATTATTTTTAACGAACTTTTGGCGAGCGTTGCAGGTGCATTCCGCAATGATCAGCAAGTTCTCCATAACTGTTACTAATATTCATCCAATTTATAACTCAGAAAATATCTAGTATTAATTAACTAAAATTACTAATAAAATTGAACAAATTTTCGATCTGAAATTTTACATAGATGCATTTTTTTGCGTCGATTAGGTAATGTTTTAGGTTTTATATAATACTGTTGTTTAGATGCTTCAATGTTGCAGAAAATGTCTCAAAGTGAGACTTAGAAGGAAAAGCACTCAACTGTTATTGGAGAGTTCAAAGAAAAACCACTTCTGCGAAGAAATTTAGCAATCGTCGTCTATGACAGCAAGTTAATGGAAGGCCCGGTAGAGAGATACTGTATTTGTTAGTGCCGTAGCTGCTGTGTACGATCATCAGTGATGACGTTGCCTTTGAAACGATGTGGTTACCCTAGGAACTGTCATTGCTAACAGGCTGCAAATACAGTAGCTACTCCTGCAACTGCCGTTGTTAAGGGCTCGATATACAGTAGTTACTCTCGTAACTGCCGTTGCTATGGGCTCGATATACTGTAGTTACCCTCGCAACTGCCATTGAACGGGGCTCGATATAGAGGAGTTACCCTCGCAACTGCCGTTGTTAAGGGCTCGATATACAGTAGTTACCCTCGCAACTCCCGTTGCTAGGGGCTCGATATACAGTAGTTACCCTCGCAACTGCCGTTGTTAAGGGCTCGATATACAGTAGTTACCCTCGCAACTGCCGTTGCTAAGGGCTCGATATATAGTAGTTAACCTCGCAACTCCCGTTGCTATGAGGCTGGAAATACAGTAGTGACCCTCGCAAATACCGTCATAAAGGTATTAAAGACCCGATATACAGTAGTTACTCCGGCAATTGCTATTGCTAGGGGCTCGATATACAGTAGTTACCCTCGCAACTGCCGTTGCTAGGAGGCTGCAAATATAGTAGTTACCCTCGCAACTGCTGTTGTTCAGGGCTCGATATACCTCCAGTTGTTACCCTCGGAACTGCTATTGCTAGGGGTTCGATATAGAATATTTACCCTCGATATCCATGTGCTCAAATGTGCTCAGTTTTTTAACGCTTGCTACATTGTGAAGAAACTATAAGGATCTGAATTAAAACTTTAATGTAGAGCTTAATAGAGCGTAGCAATATTAGTATAGCAACGTGACATACGTGCCGGATCAATGTTCAGAATCTGAAGAAAAAAAACAGCTTAAGGACTAGGGAACCTTAGCATTTTTAGCATAAGTGTAAAAATAACCGAATGCCTAGAAGTAAACGTGAACCTTTTGCTTTATAATCGCAAAGAGGATGCCGAGATATGTGGGCTTGTTATAAAACATGCGACTAGATTAGTTGAAAATGTGCTATAAAAATAACAAGTTGAAAATTACTGCACTGACACAAAGTCAGTGATTCCCACTGAGACTACGACAGCCATTCCCACTGACACTACGATAGTGATTCCCGCTGACACTATGACAGCCATTCCCACTGACACTACGATAGTGATTCCCACTGCCACTGCGGCAGTCATTCCCACTGACACTACGGCGGCGATTCCCACTGACACTACGACAGCTATTCCCACTGACTCTACGACAGCAATTCCCACTGACACTACGATAGTGATTTCCACTGACACTACGACAGCCATTCCCACTGACTCTACGACAGCCAATCCCACTGACACTGCGATAATGATTCCCACTGGCTTCGCGACGGCGATTCCCACTGACACAACGATAGTGATTCCCACTGACACTACGACAACCATTCCCACTGACTCTACGACAGCCAATCCCACTGACACTGCGATAATGATTCCCACTGGCTTCACGACAGCGATTCCCAGTGACTCTACGACAGCGATTCCCAGTGACTCTACGACAGCCAATCCCACTGACACTGCGATAATGATTCCCACTGGCTTCACGACAGCCGTTCCCACTGACACTGCGTCAGCAATTCCGAGTGACACTACAATATTTATTGCTAATGAAGCTTCAAAATAAATCTACTTGTTATTCAAGTCAAACCAAAGCAATCCAGCAAAACGGCATTCACATACAATTTTATCCACCACTTTCTGCAATATCATAGAACCTATGAACAATCATCCTGAACAATTAAATGCATTCATATTGAAATTGTATTTAAAACAGGGTTGGTCATCCAAGCCAAGCAAAATATTAAATAAGACTTCAATTAGAGTTTATTTATGCAATAATATTGTAAAGATTTTGATTGCTGCTAATTTCATGATTTACTTCATTGATATAACCTTTTCGTGAACTTTTATTAACCATGGTTTGTTTCGAATATTTTTATTATAGTTTCAGCTACAAGTTCTCTTTATTTAGTTCATCATCGGACACTTCTATTTTGCGATCTCTTAATATAATTAATTATGTTTTTGAATTGTGTTGATGGCGTTGTTAAAAACCTTAGCACGTCCATCAAAATTACATTTCCAGACATCCTTGCCGTCCCAGATAAACAAAACAAAAAACGTTGAATGTAAAAATGTTAGAAAGCAACAGTCAAGGCCTGTGAATGTTCACTTGACCTGCGATCAATTTGAAAACTTAGACCATTGTACAAATTGCAAAATCTGAGGGATCTTTATCAGTTCAATCAATTTTTTTCCGAAATTTAAGTAGGTTTTAATTTCTTCAAGTGATCATATGTGTTACGGTAGTCGTAAGTTGTACGTTGGTCGTGAGTTGTATGCTGGTCGTATGTTGTATTATGGAGGTATTTCTTTATTCTGCTTCCGTTACTTTAACGGACACATTGAACTTAGATTTACTGCGATACGCGGGGGCCAAGTTTAGTCCTTTAATTAAAAATCCAGCCAAACTTCTTCCTGTGGCCAAAGTTTTGTTCAATTTCAAAATTTTATTAAGAGATACGAATTCAAGCTTCGTTAATGAGCGGTAATAAAAATTCCATTGTATTTTTTAAAGAGATTAGTGAAATTATTTATCGCAAAATGCCAGTATTTAGCTGAACGTTGACAGTTCAGTCGATAATTTTAGTTGATGGGCAAAATATGACGTCGAATGCTTTGTTTTAGTCAATTTCTATATGATAAATTAATTAATACACCTACTAATTTATAGAAATTAATAGGTGTATTAATGTCTATAGGTTGATTCCAGGTAATTTGCATTATATTACAGTCAATATAACGATTTTCTACAAGGTGAGAAAGATGCTAAATATCATCAGGATCGACCGCTGTGTGCGTGTGTTTATCGTCGTTCTGTGTGCGCTTTTACAATGCATTTTGTAAATGGTTCTCGCTCTCGTACACAAAAGAAATGTAAAATTACG